GACAGCGGTCTGGATCTCCCTGCTCGAAATGGTTGATCGTTTGTTGTAGTGCGCCAAACGAGAAGACTCGCTTGCGATGCGTTCGAAGATGTCGTTCACAAAGCTGTTCATGATACCCATCGCCTTGCTGGAAATTCCCGTGTCGGGGTGAACCTGCTTCAGAACCTTGTAGATGTAGATGCTGTAGCTTTCCTTTCTCTTCTTCCTCCTCTTCTTTTCCCCGCCTGGCCTTTTTTGGGCCTTACCGGCCTTCTTCACTGCTTTACCGCTTGGTTTAGGAGGCATTTCGTCGTCAATATAGATATCTTTCCTCAAAAACGTCAAATATTCAACTGTGTAACGCACTTGCTCGGGTATTTATATGAGGAGCGCGGATTGAGATACCGACGTGTAATGTACGCATGCGCAACAACCATTAAATAGCTGGCAGCGGGTTTCCATTGGTTAGTTTGGTAACGAGGCTTTTGATTGGTTAACGCATCGCTCCATCTCAATCCGACCGAGCCATATAAATAGAAAGCTAAGACCGAATGCACGGAAAGTCCAGTAGCGAATCGTTATCTGTTGTGTGATACTGTATCTAGTTATTGCTGATTTTACGGCTCCTGTAATGTGGAACGTAAATGTAAATACACAACCCCACAATATTGTCTCTACGTATAAATTTCCAAACTTTCCACGCACGGCTTTCCAAGACAATGATTATATTAATATAATGCAAATATGATGCAACTTGTTATTATCATGGTAACTATACATACCTACAAGAGCTAATAATACTAATGGTATTATTAGCTCTTGATACCGCAGATGGGGTCGTCGTATCAGGTACTATAGATATGTACCCGAGGTAGTTTTAGGTTGTTTACTATTGTTTATATTTTTATATAAGATAGGGTATAGGTACACTTCTCTAGTACAAGTCTGGTACACTTTGTGTACACATATATGTACCTCGGGTACATATCTGTAGTACCTGATACGACAACGACCCCTTGAGCCTTGATACCTACTGTGAGACTAAATTGTCTTTCGACATGACTACCATTAACTACAAACTTGCCGATATTCCCACTCCCTAGCTCTAGCAACAGCCTGCGGTAACAGTACGCGGTAACAGCCTCTAGTAACAGGCCTGCGGCAACTGTACGCGGGCTATAGTTACTAGAGCTATACCCACTCCCCAGCTTTGAGCAAGCATGCGTTCAGATCGCTAATCAGTTATAAATTATTTTAGCAGCATTGAATTTGCCATAGATATCATCAATAGTCAATAATAGAAGATTGAAGATTTTGGAAGATTAGATTAGAAGATGGACTCTTGATATCCTCAAGATATCATGCACACATACGCACACGCCCGCACATGACAGTGTATACGCATGCGCACACACACGCACGGCAGACACGCGCACGATATGTGTGCATGTACTCGATCCTGATTCTTTTGCGTAGATTAATTTTTATTAGATTAGATCAACAGATTAATTTTAGTTTGTGTAGAGTGGTGGTCCCGAGGATAAGCTTGGTAAATGGGTGTTCCCCGCAACACTAGAGCCTTTACCTTTTAATTACGTTAATAAATTAATTAACTCACAAAATAGAATATTATATATTCTATGATAAGTAATCTATTGAAAATCGATTCGATAAATGCGAAAATTAACAAAAAACTATAATATTAACATTGCTCGCTAGATGGCGATAGGTATCAACATGTCTGCGCTCTGTGATCACGTTTTTCAAAGACGATCGTGAATTTACGCAATTTCATCCATCGTATAAAGTAACGCGCGGTAAGATTCACTGTATTCTACGCATGTTAACACAAAAGAATTATTTCTTTAAATTTACTACTTTGTGAGGTAAAACTGAAAGAGAATGCTGATTCAGATTGCTGTCTGTAAAACTAAATTACAACTTTGTCAACTAGGCCTATTTTAATTTTTATTACCTCCGCAACGGAGTTGCAGGGAGGTAATGTGACACCTCCCGTGTGATGTTCGTGTGTGTGTGTAGCCAGCAGCGAGCCAGCAGCAGCAGCGCGATCGATTCAGCACCAGCTCGCCTTAGGCCGCCCAGTCAGCAGCAGCTCGCCGTAGAACGTCCAGGCAGCAGCAACAGCAGCGAGCCAGCAGCAGCAGCGCGATCGATTCAGCACCAGCTCGCCTTAGGCCGCCCAGTCAGCAGCAGCTCGCCTTAGAACGTCCAGGCAGCAGCAGCAGCAGCGAGCCAGCTGCTATACACATGTATACATGTTACACGCTCGCGGAGTATTCACTCCGTGAGTGCCCTCTGTCTAGTTTTCAATGTGG